CAAGGCAGGTCTGGTACTTCAGCTTGACTTAAGGTAGACCACTGAATAATCCATGCCTCAGTAAGCCAACCAAATAAACTCTTAGATCCTTTCCTAACCTCTCAAGCTGAGACATTGAATGAAGAATCCATACTTAGTGGGCTTAAGTCAATAAACTCAGACTGATCCCATCTTACATTTCTTGCACATTTATCCCACACCCTCAGTAGCCATTCCCATACATATTCTGCAGGTTTCTGTCTGTACATGTTGGCAAAACCAAATAGGTCTTTTTGGATATAGTATACCATCTCCTCAATCACACTTTCTATTTCACCTTTTGGGCTTGCTTGGACTTGACTTTAGTTACAGGTCTAGCAGCAACAATGGGTGGTTGAGGCAGTTCCTGAGAGCAATCAGGAATGTCTTCCATGGCCTCTGCCTCAGACAATGATCCAGCAGGACTGGTATGGCTAGTCCCATCAAACTGAGAGGGAGGGAATAATGGTTTTACAGTAATCTGTTCAGATGGGAGGGATTCAACAGAATTTACAGGCTCCATATCCTGATCTTCCTGATTATCTGTCCATGTGTCCCCATTCCTGGTTTTAGGATCCCATTTTTTTTTTTTCCAATCAATGTCCTCACTTTAATATCAGACACCATTCTGGATTGGCAATGTAATTGGTGTTGTAATTCAGCCACCCTTACAATAAGACTCTGGGTTTGGTTTTCAGCAATATCAGCTCTGTTATTAGATATATAAGGCTTTCTTTCAGAGCACAACTGGAAGCACTGAGGTCTTCCACTGCAGCGCTTAAGCCAAGACTCAGCAGCTCTGAGCTCATCTCGCTCTTTCATCAGTTTGTCTAGTGTAAGTAGGACCAACCATTCAGCTTCCTTATAATCCTAATGCTGACAAAATTGCAGAAAAGTATCAAATGTCCAATCTCCCAGAGTGTCACTCTCACAAATACTTGATCTATTGGTGGTGCTATTTCACATATTAATGTTGCCACCTCGTGCCACAGGTTAGCAGGGTCCTCTTTACTAACAGACACAGGGTACTAGTGTTTTAAGATTAATCAAACTGGAGAACCAATTTAGGAAGCCCATCCTTATGATTTTCAATCTCTAGAACCACTCTCGGTACGCAATGTGTTAGACTGGGTTCTCTAGAGAAACAAAAACCAGTAAAGCTTATATATATATGTATGTTGTTGTTGTTGTTATGTGCCGTCGAGTCAAACCCAACTCATAGCGACCCCTCCTTGGGTTTCCGAGGCAGTATCACTACGGAAGTAGGATTGCCCAACCTTCCTTCCGAGGAGTGGCTGGTGGGTTTGAACCGCCAGCCGTCTGGTTAGCAGGCAAGTGTTTTAGCCACTATGCTACCAGAGCTCCCATATATATGTATAGGGAGATAAATTTATCTTAGAAAAATGGCTCACACACTTATAGAAGCTGGCAAGTCCAAAGTTCTTGGATCGAACGTCAAGCTGGTGGCTTTTCCTGACTCTTGCAACCACAGGGGCTGAGGAGCTCAAGGCTGGCAGGCAGTACACTGGCTGTTGACTCCAACGAATGATGAATCCAAGATCTCCAGGGTGAATGGTGGACTATTCACTCATGGACAGTTGTAGGCAGCACACAGAATCCTGATCCACAGAAGAATGTCTCTCTTCCCAGAATGTCCTTGGATATACTGGACGCAGGCCACACCCCTAGGGAATCTCCCTTTCAACAGATTTGCCACTCAGAACATAGTCATCTGATCCCATCATGGGAACAACTGCACCACAATAGCTCAAACCACACAGAATTGTTGTCCAGCCAAGTTGACACACAGCTTCAATTATCACAGTATTCAACATATTACTGACACTAAACTTGTTTATGCTAAAAAAAATTGGAAGATACATACCTGGCCAAGTGCCTAGAAGAGATCCATATCTGTGTCTGTTCCAAAGAAGTGTATATAGAATGCAGAAATTATCAAAACACATCATTAATGTCACATGCAAGTAAAATTTTTGGATGATAATTCAAAAACTTTTGGAGCATTACATCAACAACAAGCTGTTGGAAATTGAAACTGGATTCAGAAGAAGATATGGAATGAGGAATATCATTGCTAATGACTGAAAGAAAAGAATACCAGGATGATGTTTACCTTTGTTTTATTGACTATTCAAAGACATTTTACTGTGTGGATCATTATAAATTATGGATAACATTGAGAAGAATGGCAATTACAGAGCACTTAATTGTACTTGTGAGGAACCTGTATAAAGACCAAGAGATGGTTTGAAATCAGGAATGGAGTATGTCAGGGTTGTATCCTTTAACCATACATATTCAATCTATATACTGAGCAAATAGTCCCAGAAGCTGGAATTTTATGAAGAATGTGGCATGAGAATTGGAGGAAGACTCATTTAAAACTTGTGAAATGTAGATGACACAACCTTGCTGGCTGAAACTAAAGCACTTATTGATGAAGATCAGAGATGACAGCTTTCAGTATGGATTATACCTAAACATGCAGAAAACAAAAATCCTTATAACTGGACCAGTAAGCAACATCACAATAAATGGAGAAAAGATTGAAGTTTTCAGGAATTTCATTTTACTTGGATCCACAATCAACAATCATGGAAGCATCAGTCAAGAAATCAGGTGCCATACTGCACTAGACAGATCTACAAGAGACCTCTTTAAAGCATTAAAGAGCACAGATGTCACTTTGATGAAGGTGCACCTAACCCAAACCATGGTATTTTCAATAGCCTTATATACATGTGAAGGAGCTCTGGTAGCATAGTGCCTAAGGCATTTGACTCCTAACCAGAAGTCTGATGGTTCAAACCCACCAGCCACTCCTCAGAAGGAGGTTGGGCAATCTACTTCCGTAGTGATACCACCTCGGAAACCCAAGGAGGGGTCGCTAGAGTCGGATCTGATTTAATGGCAGTGAGTCTTTGAGTAGATGCATGTGTTAGCTGGATAATGCATAAGGAAGATTGAAGAATAATTGTTGTTGTTGTTGTGTGCTGTTGAGTCGGCCCCGACTCATAGCGACCCCTCCTTGGGTTTCCGAGGCAGTATCACTACGGAAGTAGGATTGCCCAACCTTTCCTTCCGAGGAGTGGCTAGTGGGTTTGAACCGCCAACCTTCTGGTTAGCAGTCAAGTGCTTTAGCCATTATGCTACCAGAGCTCCTGAAGAATAATTAATATCTTTGAATTGTGGTGGTGGTGAAGAATACAGAAAATACCATGGACTACTAGAGTGAGCAAACTGTTTTAGAAGAAGTACAATTGGAATGCTCGTTACAAGTGAGAATGGCGAGACTTTGTTTCACCTACTTTGGTCATGTTGTGAGAAGGGACCAGTCCCTGGAGAAGGATATCATGCTTGGTAGAGTAGAGGTCAGGGAAAAACTGGAAATACCTTCAGTGAGATGGATTGGCAAAGTGGCTGCAGTGATGGTCTCAAGTATAGCAAGGATTATGAGGATGGCACAGGACTGGGCAGTGTTTTATTGTGTTGTATGTAGGGTCACTATGAATTGGAGCTGACTGGACAGCACCTAACAATAGCATATTTAATGTTTATTAAACAAAGCAAATTGGAGTGATTTTTTAAGCATGTAACTAACAGCAAAACATCCTGTACTTTCTAAAACTCACGTTAGTAAAATAAGTGTACTTTCTATCTGAAAAGTGAAATTAAAATAAAGTCATGTTAGTGTTTTTGAATAATATAGTTTTTAAAATGTAAATAAATATATCATGAAAAGGTGCTTTATTTCAGTTATTCTGCAAAGATGTATTCCATTTAATTTTTGTGAAAATATAATTACTTTATATGATTTTATGCTTAGTGTAAGTTTCCAAAGCTAAAAATTTTCAATGATATATATTCAAGTGAAAATAATGTAGTGATATGATCATCATAGTAGGAATCCATCTTTTAATATGATTGTTAACATTTTTCAATGAATCATTTGCTTTAAGTTCAGAATCAAAAAACACTCTCTATAATCAGTTTAAATAATGAAGTAGATTGTTCTAATAGTAGAACTTCACATGAAGATATTGCATTGTTTTGCTCAGTATGTTCTTTTTTAACCCAGAGATGATACAGTCTGTTGATTTCATACTCCTTTCATAATATGCAATATAGATTAAATCATTTGTAAACCCTGAATATGTTTTATTGATCTGTATTTCTGCCCCAAAGAAAAGAACTCATTTCAAATGACTTATACTCTCCCTCACTCCTTTCCTTCCTTCTTTCCTCCCTCTCTCCATCCTTCTCTCTCTTCTTATCTTTCTCTGTCTCTCTTTCTTTTCTCTTTTTTTCTATAGACCTTTAGTGATTTTGAGATTGAGCAGCATCAAGAATGTGCATATGATCATTTGGAAGTATTTGACGGAGAAACGGAAAAATCACCAATTCTTGGACGACTATGTGGGAACAAGATACCAGAGCCCCTTGTAGCTACTGGAAATAAAATGTTTGTTCGCTTTGTTTCTGATGCATCAGTACAAAGAAAAGGCTTTCAAGCCACACATTCGACAGGTCAGCAAATTAAGGTCTTTCTTCTTTTTACTGACCATATTTCTTTCCCACTGAATGAGTACATTTGTTTCAGTAACAGCACACACATGAATCTCAAAGCCTAGCAGATTACATCTCACTTAACCACTGTGTGTAAATTTGCTGGACCATGCAGCAGTCTACCTAAATATCTTTGTACTTATTGAACATTTAGAAACAAACCCAATAGATTTTGTTCTTATTTATGATCAGTGCAGTATGTTCAAGTAAAACTATCTCTAAAACTTGATATAATTCATCTCATATTTACTTCAACAGTGATTTATATATCATTTAACAGATAGAAATCTATAGCTTGGTATTAAAAATATATTTTATCTAAAAGCCTACCAGGTTATGTAGCTTTAATATTAATATATTTTAAAAATCAAGTTTGGGATCTCTCTTTCTCTCTGCTTTGCTGAGCCTTATTTTTCTCTTTTTTTGTTATGTAACTCTGTTTCCTTAATTCCAAACTAAAATAGAAATTATTTCCACTGTCCTGGGATTCTTTAAGAAATAAAATAAAATTTAGTGGAACATAGAAACCAATAGGGAAAAATGTAGAAAAAAGTTGTTTATAACTTGGAGTCAATTTAGTAATAAATATAAAATATCTAGGGAATGTGCTTTTTTTTATTTAGTTTTTTAATAATTATTTAATAGTAGATATTTGCTAAAGTCATTTAGCTTATAGTGACACCTAGTGGTAATTGTTAGGCACAAACTTTTAGGACACTGGTGAGAGAAATTTATCTTGGTGTAAAATGTCATATAACATAATCTATCAATGAAACAATTTTAGTGCAATGTTTTTTATTAATATTTCTTTATTATATTTTCTTTCTTTTTGTTTCATTTTGTGTTAGTAATCTGAATTTTAACTATTCTATTTATTGTCCAATATTATTTTTCACTCCAGTACATTTTATTATGAGCATTTATATTGATTTATGTCAAATTCTGTTTGTGATAAAGTAGGTATTAGTTGCCAAGATAATCATCTGGTTTATATAAATAATTATTATACTTATATAAATAATAGAAATTACTTATTGTCCCAAAGGACACAAATGCTTTAGAGAAAAAACTTTCATGGGGCAAAGTTTCATACAAACCCTTGAAGGGATTTTCCACTCATTTGTCTTTATTGTGCATGCATTTTCCTCATTTCTTCTCTCATATATAAGGGGTTTTTGTTGTTATGTGCTATCGAGTCAAACTCGACTCATAGTGACCCCTCCTTGGGTTTCCGAGGCAGTATCTCTACGGAAGTACGTTGCTCAGCCTTCTAGTTAGCAGTCAAATGCCTTAGGCCCTATGTCACCAGAGCTTGCACTTCAAAATTACTTACATGTAAATTCTTATTTTTTAATTTTGTAACCACTTACATAGCTTAAAATTTTATTATTGTCCAGTATATTGACAAATTTGTAGCTCTTGACCTAGGTGTACTATTTCCTAGCTGTGAACTTTGGAAAAACTGATTTCTTTGGATCTCAGTTTCCTAACCTCATTATTTGCCACTGTAACTCCATGATTGCCTAGTTTGCCTGACTTCTGCCCATGCACACTGTTTGTAGCCTATGTATTATCATTAAAATTCCATTTATAGGGTCTAATTATATTATAACAGATGTATTGAGATCCTATGTATACCATGCACTGAACATTTTAGATGCATCCCTATACTTTACATTCACTGAACCTTCCAAAAACAATATAAAGTAAATATTATTATCTTCGTTTTGAAGATAAAGTAGTTGAAAATCTGGAGGACTGAGTAATTTATAGCAGTTTCATAAATTGTTTCAAAGCCTTAGATGTTAACCTAATTAGGACTGCCTCCAAAATTTTCCACTATAATATGTTTTCTCTTAATGCAAAATTTGGGGTTAGAAAGAAAAGCAATAAAGAATATCATTTATCACTATTATTTGAAGAAATACATAGAAGTTGAAGATTTCCTTATATAAGTTTTAAACAAAATTTCAGTTCAAAATGTATTAATTATTTCCTTTTGTCTCCCTGTTTAGTACATATCAATTTGATAACTACTCAGGTGAGAAAACTTAATGACATTTTGTTGGGCAATATGTGCCTGTGATATTGTTTAATCTAGTCCTCTCATTTCAGAAAAAAAGGAATCTGAGATTAACAAATTAAATGCCATTGAAACTTAGTGAAAATTGCAATTAGAGCCCTAGCTTCCAATTTCTGCTCAGTTGTTCTTGTAAAAATTTTTGGCATTACCTGCTTGGTTTTTTTTTTGTGTGTGTGTGTGTGTGTATGTGTGTTTGCTCTGGTAGCGTAGTATCTTAGGGCACTTGACTGCTAACCAGAAGACTAGAGGTTCAAACCTACCAGCCACTTCTGAGAAGGAAGGTTGGGCAATCTACTTCCGTAGTGATACTGCCTCGGAAACCCAAGGAGGGGTCGCTATGAGTCAGGTCTGACTCCACGGCACATAATAACAACAACAACATAAATTTTTACTCACACTTAATGAGCTCTCTTGAAATAGAACACTTTTTTACTAGCTGTAAATACTGAAATACTCTTATCATTGCCTGCTATTTATTTCTCCTCTAAGGTTTTTCTTTAGCAAGTTCATTTATTCCTAAATTTTTCATCAACTACTTGACTCTTTTTGTGAAGACATTGTAAGGTATTAGTAATTTACAAGGAAAAAGAAAAGCAAAACGATAAGGAATTCCTGCCTTCTGACAGCTTGTCATCTGTTAAACTGATTCCTATTTGTGTCTGAGTTTCTACTGCTATACATGAAGACGGCCAAGTCAAGGACACCATCTGTCCTTGCTGCATGTTTAAAGCATTTACTTATTAATTATTGCATTCTCAAATATGCACAGCTATTGTTGATATACCCTGAAGTGTATATTTAAATTTGTATTTTTTGTATATTTATATTTCTATGTACAATTTTAATGTTAGATACAAGAAAAATTTTTCACACTATAAATTTTGAAACCAGATGATACTAAATATTGCACTAATGTACCTTTATTATTACTTTTTCATTAGTAATAATGTCCATAAGATATGGATTTTATTGCAGTCTTTTTTTTTTTCCTCTGAGAGTTGGTCCACATTCTAAATCTAAACTTATTTTAATTAGGCAAAAATCATATTACAGCAGCCTTAAGTAAACTAATTTAAGAAAACACACTTTTCAGGAAAAAATAAAATATACCGTCTTTTCTCAGAGGCTATATGGTACAGAAAGAAAAAATGTAGACTGAGCATAATTTTTTCAAAAGGTGGCATTGTCTTTGGTAGGGCATCTTTCTGGTAGCATGAAAAAGTCATACTACTTGTCGATAACATTTAACAATCAAGTAATACATTATTAAGCACCTTTAAAAAGGAAATCATTTTGATCTAACTCAATTAAATTAGAATACACACTAAAAGCACTTACAGGTCAAGTTACAGGTCCTCTACTGGACCTTAATATTTGACCAGGAGATAAACAAACATCCTCTAAATTAGAATGAAGGCTATTCCCAGGCTTTTCTTCTCTTCTTCTTGTTACCTTTCTCACTTAGCTTCATTTTCCATTCCCAGAATTCTGTAGAAGACTCTTTGGCAGCTCATAAAGTACTTGCCAACAACTGATATAAAAACAGTATTTCTGAAGTGCTACATGAGAGCATTTATATTTTTCTGACTTGGTAAATAAATAAGGATATTAGTCATAGAAAATTTGTTTATAGTATTTACAGATCTTCTTTTAAAGGAGATGCTTTAAATGTTATATTGACTATGTTTTGAAGAATAGACTCAGGACTTCTCAAAAACACACTGAAGCAATTGCCCTCCTGTTGCCTATTATTTTCTGCTCATGGAATTAATCTTAGGGCATATTAAAATCACACCTCTTGTGTATATAATATTCAAATGCTTATCCTTAAAAATTATCCTATTGACTATATTCTTTCATTTTTTTATGATTGAAAAATTAATTACAGATTTATTAGTTGAAGCAGTGATCTTTTGGAAATGCGAATAAACTAAAACAGTGACACTTTTTGAAACACTTTAAATCACCCTTAAATGTAGTTTAAATCATTTGTTTTTGTAGAAGTTTTCAATTACATCCAATAATAACATCTTACAGTAGTTTTCTGATTCACAAAGGCTTTGGGAAATCTCATCTCCAATTCTGTCCAAATACTTTGTTTCATCCTTTATTTTGTTGCAAGCCAGGGCTGGTGAAAATTGTCTCTTCTGGATCTCGTCTTTGTTTTGCTTTCTTAGAAACTTCCAAACAGGGTTTCAATCACATATTTCTGTTAAAGAGGCACTAATTTATATATTATATTTGAATTCAGAAATATTTTTCATAAAGTATTTGATTGGGCTTGAAAAATATAACTCTTCTCATTCTGATAACACACTAATAGTTTTGAAAATTGTTTTCAAATATCTGGCTTTTCATTACATACCTGAGTGAATCCTCAGAAGTACAGATTATTGTATTTAGATCTTCTCATTAGAAAATAATAGTAATAATGATACCTCACACTAAATGGCTTTTTCTAGAGGCCAAGCATCTTTTAAGCATTTTTCATATATTAACTCATTCACTTCTAGATCCTATGTTGTGAGTACTATGTATTATTATCCTCATTTTAGAAATAAAGTATGTACAAAAAATCTCACAGCTGACAAAGGGCATAGCTAGGATTTGGACACAGACAATTGGGCTGTGGATATGTATCATAAAGAGACGACAGTGGTTCTTGGATTTAATGGGATAAGAGACTTCCACAGTGAGAAAAGGAGGATACTTGGCTTTAAGTTTGTGGGATGCTAAAGATGATATCTCAAGACTGATTGGGACACAGCATTGGTTCTAAGTACTGGCTTTTGCTCTTGATAATGCAGGATGTACCATTTACTATCTGGTAATTGTTGCTAACAACTGCTGTGGAGTCACCCTATCTTATGCATCCCTG